TTTGTTAAAGTCTTTGAACATGCATCGACATGCTTGGCAGTATTTCAGCTTTGACACTTTTTAACTCTGTTTTAACATTTAACACTAATAAAACCTTAATTTTTGCTATATCTAATCTCATGTGTAATCCAATACCCTATGATGTTGATTAAAAAAAAAAACTATTTACTTTAACAGTAATCAAAGATGATTTTGTTGATAATTGGGTATGTCATTAAAACCTTGACTTTTTTTTGTTGCTTTTTTTATATTTTCATTTTGTTGTAGCAAAAAAAACTATCATTAAGTTATGTTATTAATATTTTACTATCTACATAGAAAGATAATAGATTTCAGATGTAATATAGATGACATAAGTCTACATAGAAGTTAGAAGAAATTAAAAAAAAATTTAAAAGAAGGTAAATTTGGGACACATAACAGTGGCACCAACTGACTTGGCAGGAAAAGACTGAATTGCCTTTGGCGCATCACAATAACAATAAAAAGGTCAAAAGTCTTTACCCACACACTCTCTGTCACATAAAGTTTTGTGTGACTTCTCCATGAGGAACACCCACACGTTGCCTGTGCTCTATGTAACCTAAAAGGGTTTCTCTGAAATGCCAGCCGGGAAAATGTGTGTGAGAGAGCCAGAATTCCGATGAAGGGAAGCTAAAGGGAGAGACAGTGGGGAAAAGGAAAGCAGGCTTATGGAGAATACACAACACAAAGTAAGTGTGGGTGGCTTGCCAAGCCTGCAAGGGAAATATCACTCTCACACCCACTATGGCTCAAAGGATTCCCCATGGTATCAGCATGCCAGCCAAAACTGTGACAATCTCTATCCAATCAGGGACCTGTGGCTCTTAATTACCAAGCCGTAACCTCCAACAATAATTCAAGCGTTTCAGAAGCTCATGAGATAATAGGGGACATTAAAGCCCCCTGGTGTGAAGTGAGGTGCAGGAATGAAAGACAGATAACAAAAAGGGACCTCCTAAGGTTGAGGTTTCCTATTTTAGATTGCAGTGAGTGACAAAAATTGTTTAAAACATTGGCAAGCATCTGTAATATTATCCATAACTAACAGTATCAAAAATGCTTTGTTACATAATGCTGCTATTTACAACAACATCCAGACTCTTTAATGTTATTGACGCCTGGTGTAGCAATGTAGCTTTTTTAATATAACAATAAAGGTTTTTAATAAAAAATGGGTAATGTCCATGGGATATAAAATACAAATTCTGATTAAAAAAAAAAACAAAAAAAAAACACTAATGATTTTATGTTAGTATAGGACACCAACTTAATTCCACCCAAAGTGAGTGAATGATCAGCTTCTTTTTAAAAAGACTAGTCCAAAGTAACTTCTTCTCTTACTTAAATTCAATACCAGACATATTTAAGTCATAAATATTTATGTCCTAAAGACATTTCTGTAGTTTAGACAATAGGGAAGTTTCATCAGGGTATATAGACAAATCTAAAGTAGCATCGCCATAACTCTGGTAAAAAAAAAAAAAAAAAAAAAAAAAAAAAAAAATATATATATATATATATATATATATATATATATATATATATATAAATCAAATATCTGAGGTCAAGAGAATATATTCGCTGACTTTCACCAATGCCATTACAGTGCTACTGTACTGTATAATGAGCTGAAACTGACTGAAACTGTTCAAAAAGGTCTACGTCTCCGAGTTCAAAACTGTATTAAAATGTAAGGATATTCTTATTTATGTATATGTATTTTTAAATTTTAATTTTTTAAATAATTTTCTGCCTAAAATGCTAAAGGTTTATCATTGTATATCGTTTACAGGGATAATCTAAATCATATCAAATTAAACACATTTAGATAGACAACAATTTTATGCACTCTTGGTTTCACCAAACAGTTCTGGTAAAGAATACACAAGCAAAGTTATTTTCATAGCATTGAATATACTGTTTTTTTTTCCTAACGTTAATCATAATTGAAGGGATTTTGGCAGCATAAACCTTGTCAGACTCTTATTAACTTGCAAATCCTAATTGAATTCTATTTTGCAGTTTTGTAAATACATATGTATTCAGCTTTATCATTAGCTTATCCTCAGTAATTAGTCTATTGTTAATCTAAATTGAACACACCTGATTTATTTTTTTAAATACTCTCTTATCCACATACAGCAGAGTTACAATGTGAATGCATTATGATTTGAGGCTTATGGAGAGAAAGGATGAGTTTGGATTGACATATTGGGTCTTTTGCTCAGGCCTTACCTTATCAGAGCAATTAACAATTACAAAAACTATGCAACAACTCGGCCCAAACAAATATTAACTCCAATCACCAGTTATTACATTGAGACTATAGAGGGATTAAATTTTGTCCAGATATAAATATATCAATTTATACTTGTGATCTTTGCTTAATTGTTTACCTGCAAGGTCAGGATTCACTCAAATTTGAGTTAACATAAGATTATTTAAGCTACTGATGTCATATCAATGTTTATGACAAAAAGGCAAAAGCATGCCAGCGAAAGATCCAGTGCAAAAGCTTAGGGAGAATTGCATCTGTACTCAGTGGAAATACAAGAGAGTTTTATTTATATATATATATATATATATATATATATATATATATATATATATATATATAAAACTGATGAGATTTCCCAGAAGAGAAAAACTTCCCCTCAAGATATTGAAATTGATTTGCTCCTCTACAGTGATTCCAATGTTTACCTTCCAGCTAATTGCAAGAGGCAGGACCCATTCAGTGGTGAAAGAATAAGACTCACAGAGGAGCAATGCATTTTCTTCCATGCCTTTTGGACTACAGCAACATCATTCATTTAAGAGGTCCATTCCAAATAGCTTGCACAGATCAGCCCAACTTAAGGTGCTTTACAAGGCTAAAAGCCAAGTTTTAATAAGTGGGGCACACTTCAATGATATATTTACATTACTCTGTGAACAAGTCCTAAGATAGATATTTTTTGCTAATATTGTGCACAATTTGTAGCCTCAAATAAAGTTTATTGACTAAACTCTTTCTGTGAATCCATTTATAGTAATTGCTTAGGTCCTGAATCATTTACAGATTGCATGATATTATTTTGACCTATATTTATATAAAGATTATTTTAGTTTTTCTCTCAACTCAGAATCTACACTGACAGTCATAATTTTAAATTGTCATGATTTTATCCAAAGATCTGACCCACA